GTGCGCTTGTGTAGAGGCAGCGGTCCCCTTTTATGGAGACCAATGGGTAGAGGCGACTTGCCTTTCTTTTTTTTTTTTTTTTCCCCCGTTAAATGATGAAGGAGCTCTGTCTCCGAGAGCCTCTCCTGTATAGCGTCCTCCGCGAAAAGCAGCATCAGGTGTGGAAGACTATTTAGGGGCTGAAGGGTAACACCCGCAGGTATATAGCCGAGTACAGTACTCCGGGGTGGAAAACAAGGACGGGACAAAATCCTGTGAATTAATCTGTAACCCTGGCTAGCTCGTTTGAAAATAAATACACCTTCTACTTGCCCACCCCCCTCCTCCGGTTGCAAATAGTTCTCCAATCCTGGGTAAAAGCTCTTGTACCTTGGTGAAATTATTCCGAAGGGAGTTGGATGTGCGCTACGAGGTGCTGAACACACATGTGAAAAGCTTCGATTCTTGCAGGAGATGCTGCTGACAACCAGTTTCCCTGTTCGTGTTTTGCAGGCTCTGCATGGGCAGTTCTGGGAGGGGGCAGTTTTTTTCGGGTTTTACCGAGGATTGCATAACTGCTCATGTTTATTTGAAAAGGAAAGGAGGAGCAAACCCAACCCCCAACCTGAAATGAAATACATGATGTATGTCTTTTACTGAGCCTTCTCTCTGTTTTCTCAACTAGCATTAAATATCATGTTTTAGATGGTTGGAAAGGGTTAGCATGATAACGTAACATTAAGGCTTGGTTTTATTTTTCCCTCTAGTGCTGTGAAAACTTTGGGGAAAACCGGAGAGATACCTATACACTTTCATAGTTTCAGGCTTAAAATAGCATGGCTGTTTATCAAATGTGTACGACTTGTTTTAAAAATGATAATGACCATTTTTTTCTTTCTTTAGTGATGAGCCACTTTTTAATGTTTTTATAGGCCCTACCCCAATGCAACCTTACCTCTCCACAGTCCAAAATAAAATGGTGTTTTGAATGCTTTTGTACATCTTTGGGTCACAGTCAAATGCTTTTAAATAGTCTATCATTTGTAACTGCTGAAGTGTATGTCCAGTATTAAATTATAGTACAGTGTAATGCTTAGACAGCATGCTATGCAAGGATCAAATTGCAGATAAAGTTCACATAGGAATCTCCTACAGTGCTTGCACTTGACTCTTGTAAATCTAAGAAAAGATATTTATAAATGGAAATATACATCCAGCAAGTAGTTGTTTCTGTGTCCAATTTAATCTGTGGATTGACTGTGGTCAAAAATATATCTATTTTAGTAGATATATTTATTCCAGTTACTTTCTGTAGGCAAGTGTATGATAGAAGTTATTTTTGCTTCTTGTATCTTGAGCTTAACTTGAAAAAAAAAAAAAGGATTTTTTAAGGAGAGAGGGAGACGGTTATGTCAACTTATGTTAACATTACTGTGTTCTCATTGTAGGTAGAAGCAATTAATTGTAGTTAATATATCTCATAGTGCTTCAGAGAATAAGCCATACAATGGTTAAACTTGATAACTTTCTCTAGGATGATAAACTAGAATACAAATTAAAATAATATCAGATATTCTTCTTGCTTATAACACTTTGATTATGTAAGTCTTCAGTGTGAGAATGTTACTGTATTCACAAGCCTCTCTCTATATATTTATATACTATTATATATATTTCATATATGATAACAAGAACAGCCATTCTGTGGTGTAGTCAGTCACTCAGTGATGTCATGTCCTTTCTTTTTGTACATGCCTGCTGGTTGCAGGCTTGCATAAATGGAATGGACTCTTTTCAGCAAGCAACACAGTTTGGGTTTTTTGTCCCCCCCATATCCATTTTTATACTATGCATAGCTGAAGTTAAATGCAGGTATACAGTTTTCACCCCTACTGTTTCTCTGCCATGCTGCCATGACCACTATGGGCATAAGTGCTTTTAGGTGCCTCTGCTAGTTAGTTGAAATATTTTGCTTATTGTTTGTATTGCATAGTGTCTGGGAGTTGTGGTCAGGGACCTTAACTAATGATTATGTCCGATATAACCATGGAATAAAAGCTTGAGCCCAGCCTCCAAAATATTATGATCCAAAATACAGAGTAAGTGATGCAAAAAAGGAATCGGGTTAAGAAGGATACACTGGTACATTTGTGCATTATTCAGCTGTGTACTTTCTCATTCTCATATGTTAGAGCAAAGGGAATTGTAGAACTAAGTGTAAGACTTGCACCATTCTCTGAGGGGCATTCTTGGAACATGTGAATGGCTTGTTTGTAGGGGATCTTAAAATGTGTTTGACTTCACTAAATTCTGAAACTAAAAAAATCTACATCAACCCAATATGAAAAAATTTATCTTCAGACTACTTAATTTTCACAATTTTTAAAATTTAAGGTAATATTTTAAAATTTTGAAATGGAGTTTTCATTTCGAATTCAAAGTCTTGTATGGGAAAAATCACATTATTTTGCCTTCTCCCAGTGTTTTCTAGCTGCTAGCTCTTTCTTCCTCTCATCCCCCTCATGTGCCGAAACCTCCACAAAATACATAATAACAGATATATCCTCAGCTGTAAGAAATTTCTGAGTGAATGCATCATTCTGCCCATCCCAAATTGCCCAAACATAGAAGTACTGCAAGAATTTGCTATTTCAATATAGTCTGGTTATTGGAATACTTTGAAATAGTAGTGAAGGTAACTGTACATTGAGAGGATGTTATTGGTAAAATCCCCCTGTATAAATATGGTCTTTAAGTACCCGGGGCCTGTACATGTGTTACAGGACAAGTGTGCGTATCCTGCTCAGGTTTTAGGACATCATTCTGAGTGGGTGTTTATCTCAAGTGCTGACAGAGCAGAACAGACTGATTTTCTGCTACTCATTTTTCTTGACTCACAGTGGTATGTCCATCAAAACAGATGGGAAGTTTTTCTTTATTGTTAGTTGTTACGTGTGGTGGGTGGGCAATTCACTTGGCTGCTGCTAAGAGGGGTTCTTAACTGTGTCAGGATTCTGAGGCAGCTGTGAAGAAGCTTAGGCTCTTAGTCTTGCTAGTTGTCTTAAGGTTCCCTCTTCTTTTTCTTTTCCTTCTCATCTTTCTCCTGCCTCATGGTATTCTGAGGTATGATTTGAGTTTACCTTGCCCTGTATAGAAACCAAAGAGCTAGCAACCAAGTGTACAGACCAAAGTTACAATGCATTATGTAGGAGATGAAAAGACAAATGAATCTGCAGTATAACTGTTCTAAATAATCTCATGAAGGTAATTCCTGCCCAGTTTGACTAATCTCAAGATTAGCCAATATGCTAATGTGTCAGTGTTCACATATTGGAGCATTTGGCAAAATGAGCATAGAGAAGCTTGAAAAAAAAATCAAGGATGCAGCAGTTTTTGCTTGAATCTCTGAGGGTCGCAGTCCTCCTTCAAGGTCTTAAATGGTGTTTTATTGGATCAATGCTAATGAAATTCTTGCAATGGAAATGAAAATACTAAGAGGTCTTGCTCAGAAAATTATTATTTCCTTGTTGTTTACTCTGTTCATTTTTAATTTAAAAACAAATATGTTTCTGCCTGTCTCATCTGATGTCACTATTAGAAGGACTAGTACCCAAATATTTCATCTTAGAGGAGCTTATAGATGTGAAAGAACTTACTGATGATTTAGCAAAGGAAATAATTAATTCTTATTTTATACCAAGCTGTGGGTAGTTGAAAAAATTCTGTACTTAAAGGTTGGTTTATTTTCTTGGATTTAGACAAAACTGAGTAGCAGACTTTAAGAACATAAGGGATCTTTGGACAATCTAATCTGATTCATGCATTGGTTATTTTCAGTTAGTTATCTGGGAGCAATAACCTACACTAATAGAAGTCTGTCTTGCAGAGATGTTTGATGAAGTGTATCTTCTGTATTAAATGAAGTCTAATGTGGAGACATGAGGACGTGAAGTATTTGCAGCTATTCTTGGAAGTTCCCTTTAGTATCTGGCATGGTTGATTGTTCTTCCTAAGGAAGTCATATTTCTAATTTGCACTGGCATGCCCTGAATTTTCAGCTGTTGAGTTTTTTTGAGTTCTTTGACAGTAAAGAGCTATTTAGTATGTGATAACCATTTAGTATGTGATTCAATTTCTCTACAAAGGTATTTGGATCTCTCATTCAAGTGACTTCTGTCACTTAAAGAATTCCACCAATGTAATTTGTAAAGTCTCTTATGGTAAAACATCTTGTCTCATGATTTTGGAGCTCTTATATCATCTCCAGTTCTTTGATCAGAGGTGATGCTTTCAAGTCTGTAAGTCTCTGTTAGCTCAAATATATCTAATGCTGTCCCTGTCAATAGCATCAGTCTTGTTCTCTAGATACTTTTTACCTGTACCATCCTGCTAGAGTTTGAAGTGCTCTTGCTGTATAATCTCTGATGTCCTTTCATGGAGTGGATCTTCATTACTCACGGCTTTTCCAGAAATATTTTGAAAGGATTCTGTGGAAGTTCAGGTTAGTAATCTGATCTGGGTGGGAGTGATGTGAAGATACAATGTACAGTGTCTGAAGAAATGAGGCTAAGCAAGCTCTATGATTGTACTTGAACCTGTACTCAGCTAATCCTAAAGTGATGACAGGTCCAGCGTGTTATTTGGAGCTGTAAATTAACTGTATGGCTAACTACTGTGGAGAGCAGCTGTTGTCATCCGCTCTTGTTGAATCTGTGATTCCCAAGTCTTTTTTTGATGCACCGTGAAAAAAGACCTCATTTAAACAGTTGAGCCTCCTCTTTTGCTGTACTTTAGTTGGTGTTGTATTCCCTTTCTTCTGTGAAGGCTGTTCTGGACACTGGCTTGTATCCCTGCCTGTGTGTGAGATTGCAGAATGTTTGTGTCCGAGTTATTCATATACTAGTGACTGCTGTCTGCTTAGGAAGAGCACCTAGTAAGTGGAACCCTCAAATGGAATAGTGGCATAATGGAAAAAAAAATGCATAATAAGAGTTCACCACTACATATATATTTAGTGGATGCCTGTATTTATACTTTTATCTTCATAGTTGAAACCTTGTGTGAGTGACATGGTGGTATTACAGTATATTGTAGAGTTAGTGAAGAGTTATTTAGTTAGAGAATTTTCGTGTAGCTTTAAGTGTTGTCCGTGTCTTATGTGAACATGTGTATTTTAAAAGAAAAAAAGTTGTAATAAAACTATTATTGATAAATGTTTGTGTGTCTGTATACAGGTACTTCATTTATATAAAGAAGTGATATTTTATGAAGTGGTTCTTTGAAATGGAAGAATGTAATTTACTAGGAACTAAACTTAGTTTTGTATGTAAGTGGTGTCATGAAGTAACTAAGTGGATAGCAATAGTTCTTAGAACAGTAACAGTAATTTGTCAGCAGTCGAGCTAATCTCAGTGCTTGATAATATGTTTTCTAAATTTGTTCCTTTAATGGCATGTGTAATGGCATTTGTTCACAGTCTGAAATACTGTTTTGCTAAGGAGAAACATTGGACAGCTTGAGTAGCCACCTTTTTTGTTACTCTGTATGTGTTCTCCTGAAGATCTTAATGTAGCTGTATGATCTGACCAGCCTTGCCCTTGTCCACAGTGCTAGATTCACATACATTGTTATGAGAGCTTGAGGT